AAAAGAAAAAAGAAAGAAGAGAGAGAGGGAAGTAAAGAGAAAGAGGCTGTAATTGGGTTTTAGCAATTTATGTAAAGAATAGATTTTAATGCTTGATAGTAATTTAGATGTCTAAAAAAAACGAATAAATTAATTTGATGTTTGCTATCCATTTAAATATTTAATTTTTTTTAAAACCAAATTGTTTAGGGATTTAATATAATTTAAATACTATATTTATTAACACATTTATAGAGAACATATTAAAATAAATATTTTAAATTATAACAGTCTGTTTACCCGATCAATCGTAGTTCTTTAATATCGTAAAAAATAGTTACGGTAACATCTTTAAATCTAATTTATGAATGCAATTTGTAATTATTTTTATATGGGTAATCTTTCTTACTTAAAGTTTAGGTTTAATTAAAATAGAGTAATATATATATATATATATATATATATATATATATATATATATATATATCATGAAATGGATTGTTCTACAGTTAATGTATCCTCCGTTTAAAATTCATCTAAAATATAAATATAAATTTAAATTAAAGAAATAAAATAATAAACCTAAAATAAACAGAATATATATATATATATATATATATATATATATATATATATATATATATATATACACACACTATTTGCATTATTCGGACTGTTTTCTTCATCTTTATTGTCATATTCACAACGTTTCGGCCGTTGCACACTCCGTCAGCCTTGATATGATACACGTTGTAATTTTGAACGGGGTTAGCTTGTTCTAGTTCCACGTGTCATGCTTTTCATGGATATCTCAGTTTCAGTTATTTCCCTACTATTTTAGTATTTTCCCTAACTCAACTCTCCATAGTTTCTAGTCACCTCTTCTGTGGCCAGGTATTGAACTCACAACTCTTTGGGTTAAGTCACTAGATTACTTCACCCAACGTTTTTATCCACTGGGCCATGTGTCCTCGAATAAAGCCGGAGCGTACAACAGCCGAAATATCGTAACCATGACAATAAAGACGAGGGCAACAGTCCGAACAATGTAAATAGTTACAATACCTCATCTCAGAAATATAGACAGATCCTGAAGAAGGCTAGAGCGTACAATGTCCGAAACATTGTGAATATGGCAATAAAGATGAGGACAACAGTCCAAATAATGTAAATAGTGTAAATAGTTACAATACCTCATCTCAGAAATATAGACAGATCCTGAAGAAGGCTAGAGCGTACAATGTCCGAAACATTGTGAATATGGCAATAAAGATGAGGACAACAGTCCAAACAATGTAAATAGTGTAAATAGTTACAATACCTCATCTCAGAAATATAGACATATACACACACGTATGTGTATGTGTGTGTGTGTGTGTTTTGTGTAATTGATGAATTAAATTCGAAAATATGCAAATTGTTTTAAAGGTTAATCGGTTCAATGTAGGTTGGATAGATAAATATCGTCTCACCTCTGCCTCACCTGTGTGTTGGGCGTTGAAAACAAAGTGATTGGTTGAGATTAGAAGACCTGAAAAATACCTGAAGTTATATTGTAGAGGAATGAAAGCCTGTTTGATCCTGGTTCCAGACTGTCGAGAAATGTCGTCTCCGTCATATTTGATTCCAAATATGGTTTTTTCAAGAACACGCCCGCCTCAAGTGTTTTACGAGTGAAAAGGAACGAGATCTGAACTGCCTGGGACTCCGGTCAGCAAATAACGGTAGTGTTAAAATATTTTAATAGCGTCTTATGCTAAACATGGGAATCGTTAGCCTTTTTTTTTTCTTAAATAGCTAACATACATAAGTATTGTTTATTCAAATACGAATGCTATACAAATATGCAAACAATTTGATATGTCGCTTGAGGTAAAGGCGATCTGAAAATTTTAACGGAATTCGGACAAAGAAAAATAAAAACTGAAAGACAAAAATGTCGTCTGTGCGAAGAATCACACGAGGTAAAAAAAAAAATAAAAATAAAAGCGAAAAAAGACGTCAAGGTTTTGGGATTATCCATCAAAAGAATTTTTCATGGGGGAAGAAGCGTTGTGTTAGACGGTGTTTAGAGGTTTAAGGTGAAATGAAGGAATCAGGAAGATTATAATGCGCCAGACTTGCAAATGAGAATGACTGATCTGTTTTGATGAGTAGTATTCGAAATATTACCTTTCACCTAATCCAGAAGATCGGTTATGCAGGCACTGATGGAAGATGTGTAATTATATCAAACAGTGTAGGAATAAGAGAATAGAAGAATAAGTGAATAACAGAATAAGAGAATCAGTGATGGGAATCGAACACGAGAATATTGCCCTTCGAAAAGAACTTTTTAACTGTGGTTGCATTCTGTTCGTATCTATAGAAAGATATGAACAGAATGATAGATAGATAATGAAGAGACTTAGATAGATAGATAGATAGATAGATAGATAGATAGATAATGCCTTTTCGATAAATAATTTCATGGTAATTTTTCTGATGAGCTTTTGTCTTTGAACATATGAACAGAAAGGGATAAATAGATATGAACAAAATAAGTTAGATAAACATGAACAGAATAAGATAGCCAGATAGATGTGAATATGATGAAATATATATATATATATATATATATATATATATATATATATATATATATATATATATATATATGAAGAAATATAATTTTAAGGTGTGCTATATTTACGGGATAAAGTGCTCAATATCAGACATAGAGCGTATGTAAATATAAATATAAAAGTGAACAGTGAAGTCAACACTCAGAGGCAACAGGCTGTTTCATGTTGTGAGTTAGACTGAATTCTTGTCATGAAAGAAATGTTCATAATATTCTCTTTAGTTTCTCTTGATAATCGCGACATTGGCTTCTTAAAATGTTCTCTTGATGATTAATCGAATTTTCCCATGTCTTACTTTCGTCATTTTTTATCCAATCTCTTTTTATGACAATTTTAAAGTAACGAAAATTTTGGTAATCCGTATGGATAATTTCAAAGAGGATGAAATCCTGAGAGCTCAATGTTAATTCAGAGCGAATAATTTAATTTAAAGAAAACACACACACACACACACACACACACACACACACACACACACACACACACACACACACACACACACACACAAATATATATATATATATATATATATATATATATAGATAGATAGATAGATAGATAGATATGTACATAATGAGAGAGTTGTGAGTTAGACTGAATTCTTGTCATGAAAGAAATGTTCATAATATTCTCTTTAGTTTCTCTTGATAATCGCGACATTGGCTTCTTAAAATGTTCTCTTGATGATTAATCGAATTTTCCCATGTCTTACTTTCGTCATTTTTTATCCAATCTCTTTTTATGACATTTTTAAAGTTGTTTTTTCCTTGTTTTTATTTTGCCAATGTTTTCAATTTTATTTTAGATTGTTCCGTGATTTTTCGTATTTCCCAATGTTCTTTTTCTACCACTTTATAGTTTATATATATATATATATATATATATATATATATATATATATATATATATATATATGAATCCAAATAAAAAAATAAATGCCGCTTGCCTAACAAATAAAAAGTAGAAACTCGACCTCGGGTGTTAATTGAAAAACATTAAATTCAACTGCAGAGTTAATCGAATCAAACATTTGCTTCCGATTTGTTCGTTTGAAAAAGATTTTCTCTTATATTAAAGTCTACCCAGTACAATGCTCGATAGGCACCCAAGGTAGAGGATTATTATTAAAATGATTATGATGATTGAATTGCTTGATATGAATAAAAGAGAAGGCGCTTAGAAGTGAAAATTGTAAAGAAAAGGGGGATAGATTACGGTTGAAGGTTGATTTGAAGATGTTATGCATGTAGTGTTCATTAATTTTTTACGAGTTATAAATCCTTTGCAGGTTATTTAAAGCCAGAGAACATTTTAACATTGTTAGAATTCTTTTCTTTTTTTTTTGGTTTAGGGACACAAGTGTTACTAATTAACCCATAGCGGAGAGAGAAGATGTGGATTCATGACTTTCCCAAGGGTATTGCGCGTAACTGAATATAACAAACAGCGGCAACTTTTCAGGGTAGAGAGTGTTCAGGTCTTTTTCCTTCGAACAGCTTTGCGCAAATTTCACATTCTTTCCACATTTGCATCGGTTCTTTATATTTCATAGGGCGCTACTTCATGTATTTCTTCTTGCCTTCCTTGAACCCCTAAGCTAACGAAGTGACGATGAGGTGGTGGTGGTGGTGGCAGTACTATTACTACTACTACTACAACTACTATTACTACGGTTATTATTATTATTATTGAATAACAGATCAATACGCCAACAAAGTGACATTGGGTGGTTTGATTGATTGATTCATTTTCTACGGCTTATCAACCATTTGAAGGTTATTTAAAGCCAGAAAAAATTTTAGATTGTAAACATTCTTTGGCGATAATGGTTTAGTGAACACGTCTTACTAATTAGCCCATAGTTAGGGGGGAAAGTGGTGTATTCATACCTACTCAGTTCGATAAACAAACAGGAAATTATGATGTGGATATAAAGGGGTTATCAATTCAATATTTCATCACTATATAATCTGATCCCCGACTTTGTAGCCACGGTAGCTTCTATACATTTATATTTCAGAGAATCTAAATAAGTCTAAAAGACATGCTTACAAGAAATTATAATGTGGATATAAAGTGGGGGATGAAATCTATATTGCAATCAATATATAAACTGATCCCTTACTTTATGATCATGGTAGGTTCTTTACATTTATATTCCAGAGAATGTAAATAAATCTAAAAGTCATGCCTGTGTAGCTAATCAGTATTTCATTGATTGATTGATTTGTTTTCTATGGCTTATCAACCTTTTGCAGGTTATTTGAAGCTAGTAAATATTTTTAGATTTTAAGTATTTTTTTAAATAATGAGGCTTTAGTGATAGAAGTCTTACTAATTTCCGAACCATTATCAATTTCCGAACCATTATCCATTACACCACCCACACATCCAAGCTAACAGCACCTGGTATTCACAAGTGAACATTTATCTAAGTGCTGACCTAGTTCGACGTTGCTTAACTTCGGTGATCTTACGGGAACAAGTGTTTCAATGTGATGTGACCATTAGATTAGTTTGGTTATTCTATTCAGTAACCTTCCATAGGTTACACAATTAGGATGTGCGTTGTGTGTGTTATTGACTCTGCATGAGAAATTGGAGGGCCGAGTTCGAATTCCAGTCAGGTTCATGATATTCACTTACGCGTAAATACCCTTAGGGAAGCTATGAATCTATTTTGTCTCCGATGTAGATCCTTACATGAAGCCTGTTTTTGTGTTTACATGAAAAATTGGAAATTATCAGGTTCTTTGATAAGAATGCTTTATTAAACCAAAGATGCGAGTTAACGGTAAATTGTAAGCACAGTCTACCTATTACCTTACAATTCAGTTAGACCTGTAATTTGAAAATTCTTTTTCGTAAATTTTAGTTTAACTGTGTTACACCATACGTGGCTTATCTTTGTAGTTGTAAGATTAATTTGGATTTAATATAATTTTTTTATTAATCTCCTGGTAGTATTCGTAATATCTTGTATGGATGTATTGATATTTGGTTGGCATTTTTGACATTTTGCATTGATTGGTTATTGTTATTAACATCTTATATAAAGAATCTTTAGTCAACAGTTGCATATTAATTTACCAAATAATTCTATACATTTAAATTATTTACTGGTTTCTTAAAGAAGCTATTTATTTATTAAGTATATATAAAAATTACGTAGGAATCTCTCAAAAGCATATAATTTGTTTAACATTTTGTGAAACTACCACTCCACCTCATTTTTTCTTAGGAAATGACATTGTCTAGTGTGTAAAATCTGTATCTATTAACATCTGCTACTGTTTAATGTCTGTGCTGCCATTGACTGTCAGTCTACAGGTCATAACCCATTTATGGAAAATAATTTCTTAATTTTTGCTTCTTCGCTTAGTTGAAATTTAACGAAGGTCATATTTGATTAGTAGATAAGAATAAAGCCCACAAACCTTATAACCCCTTTCGTAAAAAGAGGTATTTTGCTTTTAAATCTAAATAAATCGTTCACTAGCCAATAATTTACGAGCGTCTGATGAGATGCATTGATATGCATCGAAACAGGACTGAATTTGTGTAGCGATTTTGACATATTTTTCGATGTAACATCCTAAAATAAAGAATATTGCTCTACTTTGTATTGAACCCTCTTTTAAATTAAAAGTTACGAACGTTGGAATTGTATTCCATTCGTTCTCATCTTATCTGGATATATATGTGTGTATGTATTTGTGTGTGTGTGTGAGGGGGGGGCTAAAAACGGTATTTAAACATGAAACAGACTGTCGCCACTCGATGTTGACATTAGTGTCTACATTTCATATATTTACACGCGCCTTATCCTGGATATTGAGCACATTTACCCTATAAATATACCGTACCATAAAACTATATTTTATCACTCTCTCTCTCACGCTCTCTCTCTCTCTCTCTCTCACACACACACACACACACACACACACACACACACACACACACACATATATATATATATATATATATATATATATGAGGTAATTATTTTTCTTGTCAGTTCCTAATTGGGAGTGCACCATTTATAAATCACTTTGCGAGGTTGATTTCAACGTTAAAGGATTGTCTGCTCGCAAATGAAAAAACCAGATTGGATAAACGGGTGGGTAGGATTTTTTGGGTGTGTACCTGCCTACGGCAACATACCTTATCGTTTATCCGTGACGGGGGAAAACCTAGCCGACTGTTTCTAAACCAGTAGACCACACGGACAGTAGATGCTCACTGGTAACTTTGACATGTTGGCGAGTGTCGACGGTTAGCGAGAGATTTAAAATCTGCCAAGGTCTCCAGATTTTGCATTCACACAAATTTATGTTAAGATGCAGTGCAGTTACGTGACTATAGAGAAGGAAGGGGATGTATCCATGTGCGCACGCGCGTATATCAAGGATGAAATAAGGCATCAAAATGACAAGTCAGAAGGGAAGAAGGAGAAAACATGTCGGCAGTTGATGTACAAATTTCAAACCGGGCGGAACGCATTGAATTTCCAACATCATTTTGATTAATTGAAATGCATAAAGTATATCACATGGTAGACAGAGAGACATGGATAGACTAAGATAGATAGATAGATATGAACAGACTGAGATAAATAGATAACCCGAAATTAAACTTCTCTCGATTAATCATCTGAGAGACCCCCTCTCTGCTTTCCATCGTTATGGCTGATGCTAACCCCCAAGAAAGTGACTCATTGCGCCTTCTCAGCTGATAGGAAGTGGAAAGACTATATTGAATCCATTATGAGGTCAGCTGCTTAGAAGGTCGGTTCACTTTCTCGTTAGAGACAATTTTTCTTTCCAGAATCTGACATATCTATAAGTTTACCATTCGTCCCTGCTTAGAATATTGCTGTCACATATGGCCCTGTGTCTCTGTTATTTACCTTAAGCTCCTTGATTAGATCGAATGACAAATCGGCAATATTATTGATCCTGATCTAACAGCTCATCTTCAGTCTCCTGCCAACCGCAGTAAGGTTGTCCATTTATTATTAATACTTTCATGGTAATTGTTCGGATTAGCTCTTCATTATAATACCTCGACTGTATGAATTTAAGCGCAATATTAGACTATCCGTGAGATCTCATCAATTTACAATTGAGCTAGTACATGTAGCCGTAAGTTCTACGTTAACAGTTTATTTTCTCTCACTTCTCGCTCATGGAACTCCCTTCCGGCTCCATGCTTTCCACCCAACTTTACTCTGCAAAAAATTAAATGCATTGTCAATCGCTATCTACTGTCCTCTTGACTGCTCTTTTCTCTTTCTATTCATTACCAATGATTCTGTTCCTAAATCAGTTTTAGTGGCTTTACTGCTTTGCTTGGGGTGATACCGATTAAAAAAAAGATAGATATGCACCGACCAAGATAGATAGATAGATAGATATGAACGAATTTACACTATTTACATTGTTCAGACTGTTGTCCTCGTCTTTATTGCCATATTCACAATGTTTCTTTCTCTGTAAACTCCAGTCTTCTTGAAGTATCTGTCTCTATTTCTGAGATGAGGTATTGTAATTATTTACATTGTTAAGACTATTTTCCTCACCATTATTGTTATATTCAGTATGAGAATAAAGATGAGGATAACAGTCCGAACAATGTAAATAGTTTAAATAGTTACAATACTACATCTCAGAAATATAGACAAATCCTGAAGAAGGCCAGATCGTTCAATGACCGAAACATTATGAATATGGCAATAAAGATGAGGACAACAGTTCGAACAACGTAAACCATGCCAATACTATAATTAATATCGGAATTTTATAATTAATAGTTGGCACTTCAACGTTGTCCACTTGTTAGCACGCTTGTATCGCTCGATTGAGTTCTATCCTTGTGCCACCTCTAATCCCTTTAATTAATAGTAGATTTTTTACTTAACTATACTTGATGAGTAATTTTTATAAACCTATATGACTAATACTTTTTATTTTTATAATATCGGTGATCATCCAATCAAAGTATCTATCTTCGCTCTCTTCTCCATTTTGTCTTGCCAAGAAAACGGTTACCCAACACCGTCGTCCCTACACCCAGAAAAATAATGGGTTGGGTGAGCTTTTTACAACCAATGGGTCGATGGAATTTTTTAGGTGGCGTAACTATTTGGCCGTTGCTAATTGGAATATGCGATCTGCCCTGCTTCTTTGTCGAGACAGTAGCACGTCTCATCTCGATTTTGTAGTTTATTGGGGAAATGAATTTTGATGGGGTCGTCGACCTGTGATAACTGCTTCCGCTTTGCACATGCGCACAAAAACAGCTTCATCGATATGTATACAAACTGCTATCTCTTGATAACAACACACGTACACATATTTAAAAACGCACAAACTTTCACATTCACTTATTACCATAAAAGTACACGTGAGAATCTCTTTCATGCACATAAATGCCTGGCGCCTGGCGTTAACCGAGGGTTAGTAATAGATTCGACCCTTGATGCGCTCGACACCATTTTGACCCCTTATCAGATGAAACTAAGCTTAGAAAAATATTACTTCGAAGTTCTCATCTGACATGCGCAGTTAAATACATAGACCCACACATATTCACACCTTGGTCACTCTATGTTACAAACACGCACACTTATATAAACAGGCGGACATGGATTGTATATATACAACGATCGAGATTCAGCCATTAATCTTAATTTTAAATTTAAACCTCCAAAACGAAATTGCCCTCGTTTAATAATCTGAGAGAAGCCATTTTGTTTTCCATCACCATGCCTGATGCTAACCTCCAAGGAAGTGACTCATTGCGCCTTCTAACGTTCTCTGCTGACATGAAGTGGAAAGATTATATTGAATTCATTGCTAGGTCAGCTGCTACGAAAGTTGTGTTGTGCTAGACAACTTTATCGCTAGAATCTATCTTACAAATTTATATGTCAACTAGAAGATTTGCCACATTTTTAACTTGAAGACGATTTCTTTTGACAGAAGAAATTATGCTCATCATAACAAACCTTCTTTCAGCCTCCGCAGAACTTATAGCGATAGTATTAATTATATTTTTAGCTATTATATATCGGCTATTAATATATAAGATTATTTTCGGATAAAATAAAACTAGTTCGCTAAGCTTTTATAATTTTAAGAAACAATTCGCGTGAACCGGTGCCACTATTGAGGTTATGTTTGGGATGGTGATCTTCATTTTCATATCGAGTAGAGTTTGCTTCAGTTGCCGGTTTTTCATTCTAAGTCTCTTTCCTTACTTAGAGTTGCAATCCTTGTGGGTCCGCGCAATAAAAGATGCGGTATATTCAGCCAATGAAAAAGTGATTTCAGAATCTCTTTAGCCATTTACACTATTTACATCGTTCGAACTGTTGTCCTCATCTTTATTATCATATTCACGACGTTTTGGTCGTTGTACTCTCTGACCTTCTTCAGGTTATAGACACTAGAATTTCGAACAGAAATCTTTATTTAGCGCACGGGCGTAGATTCATCTAATGTC